GTGTTGGAATATTGCATGCCTCTAACAAATGTATCATGAAAAACTTTGTAAACCACAGTGTTTAAATAAACTGGAAAAAATAAAGTTCAGGGCTGTCTTCTTTATTTACATTTATTTCACTCTTTAGAAAAAACAGAAGAAGGCTGGAGCGATAGCACAGCAGGTAGGGCGTTCAATTCCCAGCATCCCATATGGTCCCTTCAGCACCGCCAGGAGTAATTCCTGAGTGCAGAGCCAGGAGCGACCCCTGAGCATTGCCAGGTGTAACCCAAAAAAGAAAAAAAAAACAGAATTGAAATCCCTGGAAAAAGAACCAAATAGCAAGAGAAAAATTCCTAGGCTAGAACATTTTGTTTCTCTAAGATCATAGAAACAGATGAAGGTGATCTCAACATGTCTACCGCCACTCAGATTTCTCTGCCTTGGAGGGTTTTTCTATCCCATCTATATCTCAGATCACGTTATACATATTTGTTATGGGACAGAATAAGCCTCTTAAATGAAGAAGAAGGGGCTGCTTAATCAGTGTAAACAACCACCATAGCCTAGGATAAATGCAATTAAACCTGAGTCTCTGAAGTGAACTTAAAGAGAGCAGAATGTATTATGTAACTCAAAAGATAAGTATGTTATCATAGAAAAAGCACATAAAAGTAAAAGTATAAAGTACTTTTCCACATTTCCTGTACATGTGGTAGAGCATATGGACACACAGAAATAATGCATCTAATTCTCTCCCCCAACAACTTAGTTGCTCAAAAGTCTTGCATTCTGTGTATGTCTCTCCCAAAACACATATCTCATACATTTTTATTGACCATGAAAACCTAAGAAAGCCTCTCCTCTGTGGTCTGTGGCTTACAAATCCCTGGGTAACAGCAAGTCACTAAGGCATCCTGCAAATAGTATAAAGGCAATATCTCAGTTGAAGAGTTTTCTTGGGCTCCTTCAGGATGTTCAGAAAGCAGAGGAGACTGTGACAACAGGCAGAGTGAGTATTTGGGGCCACAGTACATTCTACTCTAAATAACGAATGGGGCAAAATGAGCTATTCTAGGCTCCTCTCTCTCTAAAATGCCTCCAAATGGAGAGATTGATGGGATGGGGATGAGCAATATCAAAAGCAGGAATAAAAGTAAGGAGAACTGGACAACTACAGGTGAGAGTTCTATATCCAAGATAAAGAAGAGAGTAGAAGGCCATTCTCTGTGGGGCATAGATTTATGGTAATTATTCACAAACCCAGACTCTTTATGTCCAGGTAAATTAGTACCATTTGTTTCTCTAAGTAGGGTAAGAATATGAGGGGAATTTAAGAGCTTCTTGCAAATTATTTGAATGTTTACTTGCCATCTCAACTCTTACTGTAGTGGAGTAGTACTGAGGTAACAGTACTTCATAAACTGTAAAATGGATCAATATCATGTTACAAATACTCCTATCATGTCCCATGATGGGCTGGAGAGATAGCACAATGGGTAGGGCACTTGCCTTGCAAGCGGCCAACATGGCCCACTTGAGTTCGATTCCTTCACCCCTCTTGGAGAGCCCAGCAAGCTACTAAGAGTATCTCGCCCACATGGCAAAGCCTGGCAAGCTACCTGTGACATATTTGATATGCCAAACACAGTAACAATTGTCACAATGGAGACGTTACTGGGCCCACTCGAGCAAATCGATAAACAACGGGAGGACAGTGACAGTGACAGATGTCCTCTCATTACATTTTTTTGTGGAAAAATATTTTAAAAATTCAGCTGATTTTGAGAGAAAAAATGTAAGGGCATTGTATAGTTAGCTTTGTTTACAGACAAATTTTCTTTTCATGCATTCCAGATAACAAAATCTGAAAATACTAAAATACAAAATGTATTTTAATTAATTTCCCCGCATGGCTTTAAAATCTGTGACTATTTTGGGACATTCATTGTCTTAACAATAAGTCTAGAAGAGCAAATGTGATCTGATATCAGAAATAATCTAACTAACGTGTTGCTTTTGGAATTTATGGGTTCCAGAAAATATGTCAATACAACTCTCTATAGAAATAGGCATTTTAATAAAAGAGCCAAAATAAAATATATCCTTCCACACACGTAATTTCTTCTAAGAACATCAGACCATCTTAGAACTAAACACCTGGTAAATGAAAAGTCATAAAAAGCACATTATCTGGACAAAAGAAGTATTTTTTATTAACTATATGAATTGCTCCAAATTTTGACAACATGTTTTATGATAAAATCTTTGTGATCTCAAAACTTTTTGAAATACTTCATTTCTGTATTTTTCTATTTGTCTAATATATCAGACAAATAACTCAAGTTGTATTGACCTACATTTATATTATTGGGTAAAGGAAAGTCCTGTAACAAGGGATAAAGAGTATGTAAAGCATCCAATAATACATAACTCAGTGAAAGATAAAGAAAACTGTGACATTTATCCCAGATAAAATGAATTTGCGTATTATCAAATTAAATTGTAGAGCACAGGAATCAGACCCTATTCTGATTTAAATTAATTACTTCAAAGGGTTTTTCCTAGATTGATCCAAAGTAAAGACAAGTAAATTGTCTATAGTATGCATTAAGTGCACTAAAATGAAAGTGTGATGAACTTTTAATATGTAAAACTATATAGCATTAATTGTCATCATACAAATGTAAAAAATTAAGGTAAAAGAAAACTTTTTAAAGTACAGTCTTTGGGGCTGGAGCAATAGCACATCGGGAAGGGTGTTTGCCTTGCACACGGCTGACCCGGGTTTGATTCCCAGCATCCCAAATGGTCCCCTGAGCACCGCCAGGAGTAATTCCTGAGTGCAGAGCCAGGAGTAACCCCTGTGCATCGCCAGGTGTGACCTAAAAAGCTAAAAAAAAGTACTGTATTTTTTAATTTTTCTCATTATTAATAGTTTGATTGTAACTGAAAAAATTAAATAGAGGATAATAAATGTGAACCACCAAAATCAGTGGAATACAATTTTGAATTCAATGAGGTGTCTCAATAAATGTGACAAAAAAGAAATGAGGAGGTAAGTAGCACACTTAAAGACATGTGGCTTTATAGAAATGTCACATGGAAGAAACCCATGAAGTTTTTTCAGAGAAACAGGATGGAGCTTCAGTTGTATAGTCAGAAGTTTTGTTGTGTGGAACTTTACAAGAAAATAAGCTCTTCAGATAATCTGCTTCAACCACTATTCCCATCTATATCCAAACACACAACACTAAAAAACCTTCAATATGTAGGTTAAGCTACATGTAACTAATGATCTGTGGAAAATGTTTAAACCAAATAGACACTGATTTGAATTATATCTCCCATTTACAGATGGCTTTATTTACCCGATTAAACTGTTAGCTCCACTGTATTGCTTTTTAACCATCTTCATCCTCTCCCTCACTTCTTCCACCTCCTTCTGGTCCCAGTTTTATTTTTATTTTTTTATAAAGATACAGTAAAGCATAATTGACATATATCTTTTTTGAAAAGTGAGTTATTTCTTACAAATAAAACTAATATTTGAACATAAAAGATATTCAATGATTGACATAGTAGTAAATTTATTAGTTCCACATAAGCCACTGAAATGAGTTACATTACTCGACAGTTGACAGTGAACTCTAAATGAAGTTATGTCTTTTTATTTCTATTTTCAGTAGGCATCTGTGTAAATTCTGACTTGGAGATTAGAGTTCTTGGCCATTAGAACTGTGGTACTTCCAGGTACTTCCGAAGAGGCAGATGACAGAGCTGAGTTGAGTGACCTACTGCAAGACACATTTCAGAATAAATCAAGATCTCAGGATTGGTGTGCTGAGGGGCCAAGCAAAATGTTAACTAGTAACAATTCTAAAGCTGTATGACATGAATATCAAATAAAAAGAATGAAAGAAGGATACTTTACACACAATGTAATGTAGGGCATGGACAAAAAGGGCACTCAATGATCCAGGATGATATTTTATGAGCCAGGCATAGATGAACTCTAAATATTTCAGTGTACTCAATACCTGGGCTAAAGCGATAGCACAGCAGGTAGGGCTTTTGCCTTGCACGTGGGTGACCTGGATTCGATTCCTCCATCCCTCTCGGAGAGCCCGGCAAGCTACCGAGAGTATCCCACCCGCAGAGCAGAGCCTGGCAAGCTGCTCATGGCGTATTTGATATGCCAAAAACAGTAACAAGAAGTCTCACAATGGAGGCGTTACTGGTTTGATTTGCTCGAGCAAATTGATGAACAATGGGAGGACAGTGCTACACTGCTACAGTGCTACTAAATACCTAGTAGAAACTTGCCTGATACTTTCAATTTCAGCTTGGGACTTTATAATTGCCAGAAATTTGCTTAAAGGGAATTTCTTAGGATGTGTGTTAAATCCCTCCAAACAAAAGTTATTCCAATGCTAATAGCTGGCTCAGGATTCTCTGGGAAATAATTTTTTCTTTGCTTTCACTTCAGCTAAAGTGTTATCCTTCTCCATCAGCAATGGAATCAAAAACCAACAGTGTTAAAATAGTTAAACCACTTAAGAGTGCAACAGCAACCAGAAACTATAATGACCAAGCAAAGGCTACGAAAGTTGGTGATAATGATAAAGGTAAGAATTTGGAGAGTACTCTTTACATATCAACATCCATTACATAACACTGCCACTATGAAACATCTCTACTATTGTATAGAAACACTACAGAATTTACAATTATAAGCAATTAAATTTTAATTACATCTCAGTCATTGTGTGTGTGCTAGTCAAGGAAAAGTTCAACATATCTCTTACATTGTGCATACTCTATATTTGTTTTGAGGACATATTTACTATTTTATGGACATTATTAACATAATGTAAGAACCAAAATGCAGAAAGCAATGGATTAAAATAACACAACACAAAGACAGTTATTCTCCAAATGGGAAGTATCCTACCAGTGTTTTTCTGTTTTCCCAGATTGAAGAAGTTGCTCCTTTCTGGATACCTCAACTGCCTTCTGAGATGCTCCCTTCCCAATCCAATGTCAACATCTCCTTCTTCCAGTCACATGCTTTCCTCATGATTGGCATCCCAGGACTGGAAGCTGTTCATGGCTGGATCTCCATCCCCTTCTCCTCCATGTACACTGTGGCCCTCACTGGAAACTGCCTGATCCTCCTGGCTGTGAGGAGGACTCCCAGCCTGCACCAGCCCATGTATTACTTCCTGTCCATGCTGGCCCTCACAGATGTGGGCCTCACCATGTGCACACTGCCCACCACTCTGGCTGTTCTCTGGTTTGACTATCGGCTCATTGGCTTCAATGCCTGCCTGGCCCAAATGTTCTTCCTCCATGCCTTCTCTGTGGTGGAGTCCTCTGTGCTCCTGGCCATGTCCTATGATCGTTTTGTGGCCATCTCCAACCCCCTGCATTATGCAACTATCCTCACAAACAATGTCATCATCAAGATTGGACTGGCCATTGTGGCCCGTGCCACCCTATCGCTCTTCCCAGTGCCATTCCTGCTTAAACATCTGAATTTCTGCCCTAACAAAATAGTCTTGTCCCATTCCTTCTGTTTTCACCCTGATGTGATGAGAAGAGCCTGTGCTGACATCACCATAAATATTCTCTATGGGTTATATGTCATTTCCTCCACTGGAGGCATAGACTCTCTGCACATCATCCTATCCTATATTCTCATTCTTCACACAGTCCTGGGTCTGGCCTCCCCCAGGGAGCGAGTTCGTGCCCTCAACACCTGTGTCTCCCACATCCTGGCTGTCTTTGTTTTCTTTATCCCGGTCATTACGATGTCCATGATTCACCCTTTTGGGAAGCACTTGCCTCCCATTGTACATGCTATGGTTGCGTATGTATATTTGGTGGTGACCCCTGTACTCAATCCCATCATCTACAGTGTGAAATAAAAGCCCATTAGAGATGCAATGCTCAGGGTGCTCAGGGGGAAGAGCAGATACTGATGATACAGAACTATTACAAGAATTCAGAGATCTGAAAGAGATAGAACCACTCAAAACAAAAACAAAAACAAAGCAAAACAAAACAAAAAACCTCCTGGATAGATCAATTCCTGCCTAAATCTTTTTCTATGAGCATTTTCACAAAGAGATGCCAGAAAATTATTTTTAAAAATTGCATTCATTGGGCTTGTGCGATAGCACAGTGGGTAGGGCGTTTGCCTTGCAAGTGGCCAACATGGCTGACCCGAATTCGATTCCTCAGCCCCTCTCGGAGAGCCCAGCAAAGCTACCAAGAGTATCTCGCCCACACGTTAAAACCTGGCAAGCTACCCATGATGGATTCGACATGCCAAACACAGTAACAATTGTCACAATGGAGACGTTACTGGGCCCGCTCGAGCAAATCGATGAACAATGGGAAGACAGTGACTTGAGCATTCATTATTCCCTATATTTATTTCAAATATTTTTTAAATGCCAATGGAGTACTTGTCCTTGAAATGTATGTGCTCTTCCAAGATTTGGGGACTCTTAAATACTAAGAAATGTTCTGATACAGAGTGCTCATGGCTCTCCTCTTGTTTGCAGTCTTATAAAGACATTCAAGTTAATTGACAGTCGCTGATTTTACGAACAATAGTCCTTTGCCAGAGCTATAATTTTTTTTTTTGGTTGGGAGCTGGACATGGAAATACATTGGAGGTGGGTAGGTGAGCGTGAGTGGACTCTGCTCAAACTACCCTGATCTGTATGTTTCTGGAGAGATGCAGCTAGCCTGCCATAGTCAGAGGGAAGATGTCTTAAGCATCACCCTTCCCTAGGAACCTGTGTGCTTAAGAGATCAATTCCAGAAATTAATTTGTGGTTGTCAGAGCAGTAGAAAGGCAACATAAAACTAAAGGACCAAATTCAACAGACTCTTGCCTTTGACCTTAACATAGTTTAGGTCTCCAAAGCATTGCACAGCACGTATCTGTGTACTATGGAACCTCTTGGCTGAAGATGACCACAGGGTAGGATAGACTCCAGAACTCCTTGAAACACGGGCTGTGGTCCCTTTGTCACTGACTTTGCTAATTGTGAATCTTACCTGTAAGATAGTCTCACAAGCACTTTATACTAAAGATGAAACTTGTCAACTTTAAAACCACAAAGTTGATGTTAGAGTAATTATAAAAATTAGATCAATAATAAAATGTATAATATAATATAAAAATGCAATGTTAAAGGTTTGTGCATACTTCTATGTAGAATAAGACAAGTCCATTGGAGGAAAATTCCTTTCTTTCAATGACATTGGCATTGTTTATTTCTGAGGCACTACTGAGTGTTCAATCTAGCTATTGGTCCCAAGTGGTCTCATCCTGTTATGATTTACTCTGCCTCCTCCAGCTAAAAATATAAGCAACATATTAGGTAAATGCCTGGGAGAGATGATAACCTGGGAAAGGACCAGAAAGGTTTTGAATGACTCATGATGCATTCTGATCTGGAATTAGACAAGAACAACTGTTCTTGTCCAAAAAATTAAACATAAAAAGAGTTTGTCCTCAGTTAACCCTTCCCCAAAAGAACAGTTTCCTTCATTTTATCCTTCCTATAAAATCTGGTATAGTCAGGTAGATGAGGAATACTGACAGCAAATTTGGAGAAGTAATAAAATTAAGATATAATCTAAATAAATTACTCTGTTATCAAACCCCAAGCATCCCAAAAGCATGAACACCGAACTCCTTTTGAAGAGGCAAAAATTGGGGTCATAAAGATTTGAATGGCATCAATACTACCCCAGAGAAGTTTGTATCCTTTGGAAGACAAAAAATTTTAGCAGGATGGGGCTGGAGCTAAAGTACAGCAGGTAAGGTGTTTGCCTTCAAGTAGATAACATGGGTTCAACCCACGGTAACATATTTGGTCTCCCTATCCTACCTAGAGTGATCCCTGAGCACTGCCAGGTGTGATCTTTAAATCAAATGTATACATTCAGCAGGAGCAAAGGGTTAGTATAAGAACTTGGAAGAACACATCCTAAAGTTCAAACTCCTTTAGTCCTTTTCCCTTGGAAAGGGAAGTCTTTGACATCAGCCTAGTGACAGACTCTTAACTACATTAAAAAGTTTCGTGCGGTGTGTTGAGAAAACCTTATTAAACCAACTTCTGCAAAAACAAGCAGCACACATTCCATTATAGATTCACACATATGCCAAGTTTTAGGATGGTATTTCTTTTTCTTTTTCTTTTTTTTTCTTTATGGGATATCTTCTCTCTTCTCTCTTCTCTTATTCTCTAAATAAAAGCTTTTATACTTCACTATTTGTTTCCTCTTGAAACTCTTTTCTGTAAGAACAATGAATCTAGGAAACCTGGAACAGAAACAGATTCTCCAGAGCAATCCCTTGTTCCTTCCTGAGGACACAGCTTCAACAAAATTAGGGTGGTGAGATCCAGTTAATGTGTCACATAGATCAAGTGGACCTCAAATGTAGTTTGACCACTACCCTGTGGGGCCTTAGGGTTCATGCTGTGCAATTATTCTTGACAGCCTTTACCAGTTTTAACCACCACCACACCACCCCCAACCTCCCGAATCCCTGCCTTTGATCCCCTGCATTTCTCAGGGAAACCAAAGAGGATCCAATAGGAAGACAGTATATTTCTCTGTAGAGGTATCTATTTCCTTCACCCCCACATTTTTTCACCTACATTGTAGTCTCATACTTTATTTAGGTTTTCAGATAAGACAGTGAGACCAGACCATAAAGAGATTTCATTGTTCATTCTGATGCCCACTTTGGATCTACCAGATTTTTGCCAGTAAAGCTCCTTCTCAACCCTTCATTGTGTTTCTCAACTGATTGGCCACAAGTAGCAGTGGAATTGACCTTTGAGTTTACAGCTTCACATTTGTAAAACAAAGAAATATAATGATTATTCAGAACTCTATTTTAATGCACAAATAGCCCCTGGCCTGCCTATGACAAAAATAAGCTGACAACCTTTGGCTATTTTTACATAAAATATGGATCCAAAATGTCCCTAGTTAATGGCAGACCTTCCTACTTCTAACCAGCATACTTTTTTTCTCAATGTGAGAATAAGTATTCTTTGAGATTCAGCAACTTCTATAAATCGTTTGGAGCTCTCATACATTATTCTTGCTTCACTTTCATTATGTCATGTACCTAAGATATCATTCCTAAGATACCATATACCTAGCATTAATCTAATGTACGTGATATCATATACATTATTTATGTATTACATACATAAATAATAAAGATAAATTTTTGCAAATTATAAACATGTCTACTGTTTTTGATGTAGGTAGGCAGGTAGGGAAGTCCCCCTCCCTCAAGGCAGTGGCAATTAATTTCCTGGGAGGTAAAGATATCAGTACCCTGAACTTCCAAGAAGGCAACTTTGCAGAAAACAAGAACTAAAGCCTGATAAGATTTTCACCTGGCCAGCAACAGACCCAGAGAAGGCTGGACCCTCTTCTCCAGCAGAAATAAAAGGCCAGGAAAGGAATATCAAAGAAGACCATCACCACTCCAATCCTACCCCCTTGGCAGCCTCCCTAGCAACAGACTTTTACCTGGGTAGAAGCCGCACACGTGGGCAGGTTGGAGAAACCCTATAAAAGCCACCTTGAACCAAGGAAGGGCGCGTATATACTGCGCATGCTTCCTGAGCCCATGTGCTGTTTGTGCCACATGGCTGAGCACAATGTGATGCCAAAGCACAAGTGTCCCCGCATCTTCCCTCTTGAGATGTGTACTTTCATGCTTCCATATCTTAAGCTGGGGTGTGTGTAGGGTTTCCACCCTTGGAAAAGCCCAGATTTTCTCTTGAGCGCATTACTCTCTCCCACTTTCTCTCTTTTCTTCCCCGTCAAAACCCTCCAAATCTGTTTTTACTTCACAGCTTATCTACTCCTGAAATTCTTTTCTGTGAGGAGACAAGAACCCAGTAACTCTGGGTCCTAGGGTGGGCGAGGTGGCTGGGGAGAAAGTGCCCATCTTTCTCCTCCTCACTTCGCATAAACCACCCTTGGGGCCCACCGACATCCGTTTGAATATCAGTCAGATCAAAAATAGAACAGTAAAAGCAACCCCAAACTCCCTGAAAGTCCTCTTGTTTTTATTCCTCATCCTCATTAAAGCAAATCATCTACCTTCATAAATTAGTTCTAAATTAGTTCCATCTGAATGCCATACAAAAAGTAATCATGTTCTCTTTTTTACCTTATTTTATTTAATATTGCTTGTGAAAATAATTCACCTATATTGCCATTGATAAGGATACACTACCACATATCCATTCTGCTATTGTTCCATGTTTGAGTAGTTTTAATTACTCAGTCATTCTGAGTAGAATAAACCCTCAATGAAGAGCTGGTTAGTACACATTTGTGCACTTGTTTCTTGACTAAACATAGAATTACTGCATTACAACATATGGGCATATTTAGCTCTAAATAATTTTCAAAAGTGCTCTGTCATTTTATGCTCTGACCACCATTTTAGCAAAATTCCACTTACTCCATACCCACTTTGCTATCATCACTCCAGCCTATTCTTGTGATAGAAGATGGAAAATAGAAAATTCAAAATGGAAAATGCCTCTGGAAGAGACGGGGTAGCTGCAGTCCTGGGCATTGGAGGTTGCTGATTACTGTGAAACTGCAGGTAACCAGATCTGAAACAATATGCAAATGGAGGTCTGAGTATTTGTATCCCTTTGATTATCATTACAATCAGGGGAAGCTTCATTCCAAGTTCTGTGCTTACCAAGTCTAAGTGTTGCATCACTATATAGGAGGAAATAAGAGACCGCTGATAAGAGTTTTAAGTAAGGTAGTAAAATAACCAGATTTGTGTTTGGTAAAACTTCTGTAAGCTATTTGGGATTTAGGAGTGGTACAAAAAAAATCAAGGTAAGATGACTGTGATTAGGTCAATTTGCCAAGCAAAAAAAAAACTAGTTAGAGCATTAGTTGTCAGAATGGAGCAAACAAGACATATTTATAAATCTTTTCTAGATAAAACCTTTTAAATGAGCAAATGGGTTATAAACTGAATTTAATATTATCCAGTCTTCTCCAGGACCCAACAAAGGTACAAGTAACTAAAACAGGAAATCCTTAGATTATCCAGACAAAGCAAGCAGGTAAGATCAAAAGAACACACAGGTAAAAGGCACAGAAGGCAGGTCTTTGTCCAGAACATATGGTAATATCCAATCAAGTCTAAAGGCTGTTTCTCCTTCTCATTGTAGTTATTTATTCCAATCCCTTTCAGGTCATTTAAGGAATATTCATATAGAAGATAGAGGTCTTTATTCCAAGACCTCTCAGGTTATCTAAGGAAATATTCATTTATTATAAACAAGTGAGACATTGGATAACAAAGACGTGAAACTTTACCCTAAGTGTAGGTTCTACCCTAAAGTTGGAATTCTCTAAAATCTAGATAATAGCTACATACCTGGAAATAAACTTAAATGTGTTTCTTCTGTTAGTGTTATGAGAGTTTCCCAACAGTGTTTGGGGGTCTCGAGTTACCATCATGACACTTGGCCTATAGTGGAGGCCTGATGCATTGGTGTTCTGTTGGGTAGTTCTGGGAATACCACCAGGGCCATATATGGTGGTACTGAGTTGAGGACATGGATTCTGAGGGGGAAATAGGAGTGCATAAATTCCACCACTTTAAGTTATCTTCCTAGCCCCTATTACTCTATTACCTATCAGTATCTCTGATAGGTTTTCCGATATAAAGCAGAGATATACATTCACCATAGTCCATAAAAATCACGCACATAAACATTAAGGACATGGAAGAATAAACACAAAAATGATAATATTATTTTTATTTTAAGATGACAAGTTTATTGGAATTTTTATTTTTATTTCTTTTATATGCTCAAAGTATTTGTGATTTTCTTTGTTTACAGTGATCATATATTACTTTTATAACAAGAAATAAATTGTCTCATTCTGTATTTTCTTCTCAAGTCTACTGTCAAGGCACTAGAGCGTTATGGGTTAACACCCACGTGATCCGAAGTGCCCAAAGTCAGCACTGACTCTTGTTTATGTCATTAGTCCTGGCAGAGTATATACTGCTCACAGTATTCTGGATTCTGGATTCTCACCCAAGAAATTGGATGTGTTTTTCTCATGCTCTCTCTACAAAGTAGTTTTGGTGTCACTAGGTATGGCCTAAAAAATCTAACTGCTCATACGTGCTGCCCTGCTCTATATAATACTTCCTGCTTCTCACACTTCCCTACCTCTTTTTGGGTCTAACCAGATCACCTTTTGTGAATGGATGATCTCATGCCTGCATTTCTGTAGAGCCCACTGCTCTCTTACCATTCTACTTCCTTCTGGAACTGATATTCCTTGTGGAGCTCATGGCATGGGTGGGCTTCTAGAATGATACATATGTTAATAGTAACCCTCAGATATAATACCTTTCCTGTTCTCTACTGTGATCTTAATGTCTGAGCATTCTATCTATGTGCTTTCCTTATAGGGTAGTTCAGAGTCCTAGGAATATGTGCTCTACTCTCTGTAGAACCTTGTTTGTCTTGCTTCCTGGTTAGTCATCTGTGCCACGGCCCTGCTCAGTCTCATGAGACTTCCTCTCTTGGCTCCCAAGTTGATGGTAGCCTGTTCTACCTTTCTTCCATGAGTTTCTAGATGCTCTCAGCCACATCTTGTCATAAAATATTTCACCGGATAATCAGTAAATCACCCATTTCTCTATGTGACAAACTAGACACTTTCAGGAATTACCCCAAAACAGTACTGTCACTACAACACAAGTACAATGGTAAATGTATAGGAACTATTGGGTGTAAAGCCATAAGCAAAATTAACAAAAAATTTCTAAACTTAATACCAGGTAAATTAAAAGGGAAATTAATTACCTCCTCCAGGAAATGCAAGACTCTGAACTAACCAAATCCTGGTAGCCCAGATCTAACAGTCTCTTACCGAAATATAGACTTGAACATCAAGAGACTTCATTTTATTTTCATTTTGTGTACTCTACTGTAATTCACTGATCTCCACTGACTATCAATCTCCCAATGGGTAAAATAGTATACCATCATATTCTTGCCTAAATCAAAAGGTTAATAAGAAACATGAATAAGAAAAAGGATACATGGATTTTAAAATTCTCAGAGTATAATGTATCATCTTTTGTTAATATTGGTAAAATAGTCATTCCATGGTTTTACTTTCAATTCTTCTCTTCAATCTGGTGCTCAAAATTAAAAAATATTCTCTGCAGAGATCATTTTGGAGATGGAGATCCAGGTACATATTTTTCCCTGAGACACAATATGGGTTAGGGTTCTGAAGTGGAAATCACAGTATTAAATCAGATTATCTGGGGACAAAGATAGTGTAGAATTTAAGGTGCTTTTTTTGCATGTGGCCTAACTTGGTTTGACCTCCAGCAGTGCACAATCCCTAAAGTACTTCCAGGAGCAATTCCTGAGCACAGAGATAGGAATGGCCCTTGCATGCTGCTGAACACGAAATATATACAGAATATTAAAATATATAGAGAGAGGACAATTAAAACAGATTGTCTGATATATTATAATCTTGTATATATTTTACTTTTGCCATGTATGAACCTTCGGTAGATTTACTTCAGCTCTCCACACACTTGTTTCAGAATGCTACAAATTATTTGCTAAATAATTTAGATATTTGTACTGAGTGATTAAGTGGGAAGTAATAACACTCCAACCACAACCACCTCAGGGTTTAACAATTAAAGTTAGCAAAGAACTAAAGGAAAAATTGTTGAGAAGCAGAAATTAGAAGTAAATGATTTTGCTGCCCTATTCACAGGAGGATTCTTTAAACCCATTTCATTTTCAAAGGATCAGTCTTGTTTTTAATTGAGGAACATTTTTCACAATACTGTCTTCCAAAACGTTGATATTAAAATCTGAACTGAAGTACTTTAAAAGAAAAAGTAGTTTTATTACTGACAACTAGTGGTCTGAAGTCTCAGTGTTCACTTGGAAAAGACGGAGGATTCGGTGCCGGATCTGCTTGGTCTTCACTCCATAGACAATGGGGTTAAGCACAGGAGGAACAAGTAAGTAGACATTGGCCATGATGACAGGAAGAAGGGAATCATGTCGCTTGCCAAAGCGGTGTACCATAGACAACCCGATAAAAGGTACATAGAATATAAAAACAGCACACACGTGAGAGACACATGTGCCAAATGCTTTTGCCTGGGCTTCACGTGTCAGACCTAACACAGTCTTGAGGATAAGTAAGTATGACAAGGAGATGAGAATTGAGTCCAAGCCAATAGCAGAGATAATGACAATGAGTCCATAGATGATATTGACACGGATATCAGCACAGGCCAGTTTCATGACATCTTGGTGTAGACAGTAAGAATGGGAAAGGATATTGGAGCGGCAGAATGGTAGGCGCTTGATGAATATAGGCAGGGGTGCCATAAGTGCAGCACCCCGCAACACAGCAGCCATGCCAATCTTAGTAACACGAGGCAACGTTAACACAGTGGCATGGCGTAGTGGGTGGCAGATGGCCACATAGCGATCAAAGGCCATGGCCAGCAGTACTGTGGATTCCATGCCAGATAATGAATGGATGGCAAACATCTGTAGAAGGCAAGCATCAAATTGGATGGTAGTGGAATTGAACCAGAAGATGGCCATCATCTTGGGCATGGATGAGGTGGAGATGAGTACATCAAGGCCAGAAAGCATGCAAAGAAAGATGTACATGGGTTCATGTAGACTATGCTCTGTTCGCACAATGTAGATGATGGTCAAGTTACCTAGCACAGCAATAAGGTAGAGGGTGCATAATGGAAAGGCCAGCCAGAACTGAGCTTCTTCCAATCCTGGGAGACCTATCAGAATGAAATATGTAGCACTGGATCCATTGCTGTGAGGGGACACCATGGTGAAGAAGCTGAGCCAAACCAGGCAGGTAAAAGCTGGAATAAAAAGAAGGCATAATCAGAGCCTTTTGAAGGCATAATCAGAGCCTTCAAAATCCCACTGTCATGTCTCTTTTTATCTATCATGTTGAGACCCAAACTTTTTGACACAAACTTTGACTTCCTTGCCCATATATACTCTAATTCTCAACCTAAAATTCTTCGTAACTCAAGGCCCAAATGAATACTCATCCAGTCTTATAAACACGATAAAAACAAGTGAGAGACTAAAAAAATTCTTATATTTTAAGTCATTTCATTCACCAAAGATAGGTTGTTGATTAAGATATAAGGCCTATATAAGACTTAGAATAGAAAAGGAATAGAATTTCATCATTAATTATGACCTTAAGCTCCCCTATGCTTTATATCAACTATAATTTTATCACTAAACTCTAAGACAGATTCAAAGATAATATTAATATTGAGAAAGTTTATCACTGACAGCTAATCTTAACACAATTCCAAGAATCTCTTTAATTATAATACTAATCCTAATTTAAGCCCTATCATAAATTCAAGTAGCCAATTAAAAAAATCCAAAATAGTGATACCTTTTTATTATGATAACCTGTATATGATTAAGAAAACTAAACCCTGATATGCTAACTTTATTTAACTTTAGCCCAAGTGCCCATCCAAAAATCATACTTTTGAGCTACCCAATTTATAATGTAAAAGGAATAATGGCTTTAGTGGGTGAAGTTATTCAGCTCCACTTCCCTTGGTGAATGCATTGATATCCTCTCTTCAATGAGAGTTGAGTGCTAAAGGTTCCTGGTTTTCCCTGTCTCCAAAAAACTATCCTTGACATAATTAAAGTTACTTTATCTAGGAATACATACTCCTCTTCAGGACACACCTACACAACATCTAGATTAGTGACTACATGACATATATGTGCAAAAGCAAGCCCCCTTGCCTCCTGGTATAACCAAAGCTATAAAGCAGTGTGAACTTCAGAGCTTCCTGAGAGGCCAGACTGAAGCTCATCTCCTTCTAAGGGTAGAGCCTTATCCAACTTCTTTGCCCAGCTATATGCTACTTCCCCAGCTCCTCTTCCCATGACAGAATCCTTCAACATGTTATCTAAACAAAGCGTTCCATCTCAAGCTTGGCTTCCAGGGGATATGCCAAGACTAAGAGAATTGAACTGACAGGGAAGATACAACCTTGGAGACTCTGGTGGAATAATCAGTCTGTGGCAGGGTTCTGGCATCTTCAAATCTGGCTATAAAATTGATGGCTATAAATAGAGATTACTAAAATAGAATGAGTGAAACTTGAGTTGTTTCTAATCAGATCTCCTGTGGAAAAAAATCAGAGTTAACTGCTTTCTCCTTTCTTTCCTTTTTTATTCACAAATATTGGTGTCATTTGCTTTCTATTAGTTTATAAATACTTATATACTATACAATATATAATATGTAAATGTCATATGTGTATATGATTCTTTTATTCTGGGAATGATAAAAATGTTAGATTCTTAAGATCTGACCTTTGACAACTGAGGGAAGGGATTTAGGCATTAATAAAGATAGTTGTTGGGCATGAATGAAATGCTCTACCATCAGCAGGGACTTACACATTCATGGGGCTCTAGAACTGTCAGTAATATTGACTCCACCACTGAACTTTTACCCTGAGATCTCATCAACTAGACACAAATTTAATGGGAAGACATAGGGAACATGAGTCTTAGCACAAAAAGTGACAGTTTAATTCAAATTGCTGGAGTGAAAAGATACAAGGAGTCATGCTTTTCCTATAACATGAAAACATGTTTTTCCTATAGCAGGGAAAGAGGTCAGATTCAACTACATCACAATATCACTACATCATAATGATCAATCTGGTACCACATCTTAGAGTGTTTCCCTCTTCAAAAAGCTCGCAATCCTGAAACAAGAGAGATAGTTCGGTGGGTAAGGTAATCATCTTGCACATGGCCAACCCAGGTTCAATCCTTGAGTACCACCAGGAGTGATCTCTGAGTGCAAAGACAGGTGTGAGCTCTGAGCACTGCCAGGTGTGGCCCCCAAAATAATTTTTTTAAGGTGGGGGTGGGGAACTTCTCACACCTCCTCTGCTTCTTCTCAGTACTCTCTCATCATTCATTCCTGGTTTCCTTTTGAAACCTTAAGCCTCCTTTGCTCAACCCTCAAGCACAGTCTTAGGTGACAATAGTCTCAAACTTTTACTCTCAGTGCTTTCTTGCACTTATGCTCTCCCCAGTCCTTCCTGTCAGTAAGTTCGTTATGTATAAACAATTAATTCCCCATCTGTTTGACAAAGCTCTGAATTAGTCTTACTTCTAAAGTTACAACAAGAGTTCACTGTCTGTCAAGTACATTAAACATTCCATGTCCAAAAGACAAACTCAAAGCAGAAATGCAGAACTGTATGAGAGCAATGAAATAGATCCATGACTCAAATCCCAGCCTGTGACTTCATTGGCTACATGACTAAGGGCAGTTAATTTCACCTTTCTAAGCCTCAGTTCTATAATGTTTAAAGTGGTAATAGTGACTACCTGGGGAAGATGGTGCATTAAATGATATGATAAATGTCAAGCACTTAAAAAATCCTGGAACATAATCAATGTGCAAAAATGTATATCTCTTGTTAGCTATTTTCCTGTGCTCTGCTTTTTCTTCTGTTTTGCGGCCCTAGAAAATCACCCAGACTAGGTATTCTGATTCTGACTATCCCATCCCTAGGATTGCCTTCTTCATCTGCACAGTCTAAAGTATCCGCTAAGGAAATGAAATCACCCTGGGAGGATCCTCACAACACCCTTTATTTGGTGCTCTCTTCTCTATCAGAGCTTCCTTTTCCCCTAGCACATGTGACTGCCCTCCAAGACACTGAGCAAAATTCCTGGTACTAATCTCAGCCACTCCTGGGTGTTATTCTCCCATTTTGTTGCTTTATGTTCCCCAGATGAATGCAATCTTCCTGTGTCTATCCTGCTCTTTCTGACTTATTTCGCTTAACATGATACTTTCCATGTAGTACCACTTGTATGTAAATTTCATGACTTCATCTTTTCTAACAGCTACTGAAAGTAGACTATAGACTAAACATGATTGCCACTCAATGTCTCTCTTGCAAAACACAGGACCCAAAAGGAGAGAAAGAGACAAGGGGGAATGCCCTGCCACAGAGGCAGGGTGGGACGGGGGAGACGGGGAGTGGGGGGGATGCTGGGACCTGTGGTGGTGGATGATGGGCACTGGTGGAGGGATGGGTACTTGATCATTGTATAACTGAAACCCAAGCACAAAAATTTGTAAGTCTATAACTGTACCTCATGGTGTTTCACTAAAAAAAAAAAAAAAAGAAGAAACCTTAAAAAAAAAAAAAAGAAAATGAAATCAGGTCCCTGTCTTCCCTATCTTTTTACTTAACAACAACAACAAAAAAGTTCCAAATTTGAGAATAAAGACTAAACTATTGTGGCATGGCAAAAGGTGGTGTCTTTTAGCTTCTGTCCCATTTCTCTCTTATCACTCCTCAGTTGTGCCCATATGTTCCAGCCACAGTGGAATATACGCCATTTGCATTTCATAAATGCAATGTTGATCTCATAGCCTCTGTGCTGGTCTGGCTTTTCATTCTCCATCTGTCACAATCCTCCCAGAACACTCCCCTTGACATCCCACTGGTCAGAACCTAATTCATCAAAATCTTACTCACATTCTGATTTACTTTCTTCAGTGCTATTTTCCTAGGCCTGTTTCCCCTGAGTATGATAAAATGTTTTCTGCTCCCACGGAACTTGTTTTGGTCTCTTTTTATGCACTTAGCATCCTAACCTAGACTTATTACAGTATATTTTCCCACTGAATTATGAATTGCTTAAAAGTAAGGACACTCCCATATTTATTAAGTAGCTAATGTTAAAAATTAAAGGCCAGAGAGCTAGTACAGCAGGTCAGGAAGGAGCTTGCCCAGAGCACGACTGACCTGGGTTCAGTACCCAGAATCACTTATGGGTCCTTATGCTCCACCACAAGTGATCCCTGAACACAGAGCTAGGAGGAAGCCCTCAGTATTGCAGGGTGTAGTCCCCAAACATACCCAAACAAGAAAGGACTGTCATTGAACTATAGAGACTTTTGAAAAGAAAAATGTGGAGTTGGAGAAATAATACAATGGGTAAGTCACTTGAATTGCCTACAGTCAACCTAATTTCAATCCCTGGTACCCACGTGGTCCCTGAAATCCTACCAGAAATTATTCCTAAACTCAGAGCCAGAAGTAAACCCTGAGCACCCCTGGAAAAAAAAGAAAGAAAAATTATTTGGAATACCAGTGCAAAATGATCTCAATTTAAGTCTTTAGGGCCAAGGAGAGAAAATTTTTCTAACATAGAGAGGTGGTGAATATGAGATGATACGTTGTGAAGCCTGGGCAGGTGCAAAGCCTTTATTCTAAATGCAAGTGGAAGTGCAGCACAGTCTGTGCGTGAGAGAGGATTCCAGAAATCTCGAATTCTTAATCTGGAGACATCAGCACAAAAAACCACTGACACTCCAGAGGGCTGGATACTCTGCACTATGCAGAAATTGCATCAGACCAGATATGACAGAGCAGGGCAATCCCAAGGGCTGGCTTGGTGGTGAGTGGTCAAGTTGCCATAGGGAACATTCCAGATAAGATTCCCTTTGGATTCATGGCATATTTATCCCTATTATCTCTGGGGGTGAAATAATATGATGCTCAGAATTCTGGGGCTAGGAATTAAGTTAGTGTTAGCTTTAAATAAGCAGAGGACAATAATAACTTCATAAGATAGCTTCAAAATCCTGTAAGATAAGTAATGGCCAAAGGACATAAAAGTTACATCTTTGTCTGCAGAGTTCTTTTCCTCATGTTTTCATACAGTTTCATACAGGAAACAGATTCCCTGAAAATGATTGAAGCGTTCAAAAATTTTTCATTTATCCACTATCAAAT